AACATTTGTCCTGGGTGGGAATCGAACCCACGACCTCCGGCGTAGCAGTCAGGATCACTAACCACTAGACCAACAGGCCAGCAAAGGACTGCATATCCGCTTTTGAGAGTCCGCTCCTGTACCTTTTTAACTTATCACTGACTCACTCTAAGTATCCAGACATTTGGAAAGTTTCTAGGGTCACTCCGGTTCTAAAAACTGCCGGTGAAAACGACGTTTCGTCTTTTAGACCGATTGCAGTCTTATCAGTCTTTGCAAAATTATTTGAGATTGTCTTATGTCAGCAAATTAATAAACAAACTCAGAATTTATTGCATGATAGTCAACACGGTTTTCGAACAGCCCGTTCTACCACTTCTAATCTTGTGGCTCATCTTGACTATATATATGCTGAGTTGGATGCTGGTAAGGTAAAGGGTTTTTCAATAAGAACTTTGTTTTCTAAAACAAAATAAAACAAAGAGTTTAGATGAAGATGATTCAAATTTTTATTGTATTACGAAGAGAAAAGTTTGGCAATTATGAATGAAAAATGATATCTGGCAAATGTCCACCACGACCACGCTGACAGATGTCGAGTCTTTCATCAAAGTTTTTAATCACTTTTTGGCAAAATGGCGGGTCTATTTCGTTAATCACGTCACGGATTTTGAGTTTTAAGGCCGCTATCGATTCGATTGGCTCCGTATAGACTCTGTCCTTAACATAGCCGCACAAAAAATAATCCAGTGGTGTTAAATCACACGATCTGGCTGGCCATTTAACAGCTGAATTTCGTGAAATTATCCGATCGGGAAATTTGGTTTGCAATAAATTGATCGTTTCGTTGGCTGTGTGACATGTGGCACCGTCCTGTTGAAACCACATGTTTGTGATATCGATGTCATCAATAATAGGCCAAAATTGAGATATTAACATCTCGCGATAGCGTGATCCATTGACCGTTACCGCATTTCCAGCCTCATCTTCGAAAAAAAAAACGGCCCAATCACGCCTTCAGACCACATAGCGCACCATACAGTGACACGTTGAGCATGCAAAGGCTTCTCAATAATCGCTTTAGGATTTTCAGAAGCCCAAATGCGGCAATTTTGCTTGTTGACGTACCCTGACAAGTGAAAATGGGCTTCGTCTGAAAAAAAGATGTTTTCAGAAAAACCAGCGGGCTGTTCCTGAATGAATTGAGCGAATCTACGGCGATGTGAATGTTCGGTCAGCTTCAATTCCTGCACCAGTTGAACCTTGTAAGGCTTCAAAGCCAAATCCTTACGCAAAATTCGCCTTGTGGTGGTTTTGGGTAACCCCAATTGTTGAGAACGTCGAGGAATTGACAAATTTGGATCTTCTTCAACACTGTGGCTCACGGCTGCGATGTTTTCGGTTGAACGACCCGGTCGAACACGCGTTGGTGTTGGCGCATTTTGTACCGAGCCTGTCGATTCAAATTTAGCGACCAAATTCTTACTAGCGGTCTCAGAAGGACGATTATGTTGTCCGAAAATATCACGAATTTTACGAAACGTAACTTTAACAGAACCACCATTTTCATAGTGGATTTTAATTATTTTAATGCGATTTTCGAGCGAAATTGAATTCATTGTAGCAATTGCCAAAGCATCTACTACGAATAGGTCAAAAAACTAAATGTCAAAACTGTCATGTTTTTGGTGTTGCCCCAATTGAAAAACAAAGTTCTTGTTGAAAAACCCTTTATATATTGCGTACTTTAAAAAAGCATTTGACCTGATCAACAATGTTATCTTGTTACGTAAATTGGCGGTGATAGGCTTTGCCCCAAAACTTGTCGATTTTTTTTCAAATTACCTACGTGATCGGCGTCAGTTTGTTAGAGTGGGTGCATTTGAGTCTAGTGACTATTACACAAGATCTGGGGTAAGTCAGGGAAGTACGTTGGGGCCATTGCTTTTTGTTATTTTCATTAATGACTTACCGAATAACGTGGTTTCCTCAAAATGTCTGTTGTTCGTGAATGATCTTAAATTAAGCCTAGGTGTAGCTGGCCCGTCTGACTGCGAGGCATTGCAAAGAGACATCAGTGCGGTTTTGGATTGGAGCGTATTAAATCGTCTTCCCTTTAATGATAATAAATGAAAAATAATAACATTCACGCGTAAACGCTGTCCACTAAATGTAGACTATACTTTATCTGATACGCCCTTAGAAAGGGTAAGCGAAATACGTGACTTAGGATTATTATTAGACGATAAACTTGACTTTCATAACCATGTGATTTCTGTATGTAAAAAGGCCAGTAAAATGCTTGGTTTCATTATTCGCACTTCTTCACAGTTCGACGGAATAGGGGTCGCTTTGGTACTTTACAATGCATATGTTCGTAGTAAGCTTGAATACGGTGCCATTGTATGGAATCCCTATGAGGAGAAATATATTTTGATGATAGAGAGAATACAGCGCAAATTTGCACGATGGCTATATAAGCAGAATTACGGTTATTACCCCTATCTATATCCGTCCTTATTTGTTACTGGTATGGTGGATTTGGACACTCTTAAACTTAGGCGGACTATGCGATTGATAACATTCTACCTAGCAATCATCCATAATAAAATAGATAGCCCAACGATATTAAGCAGAGTGTTGTGAGTGTTGAGTTATTGGCGCCGAAGCGGCTGGGCTATGATGTGGAGTGGACGGTGGCACGCCGGCGCGCACCAGGTGCGGCGCTCACGCGCCCACTACTCGCGCTATACGGCTTATTGGAGATATGCTCGCACATGATTACGAGATTTGCTGATAGCTTTAGGCAACTATGTAATAAAGCCCTTCTATTTTTGACATCCAATTTTGACATATTGTAATATATTAATTTAATCTTATCTTAGTTAATTTGACAATGACATTTTGTTTACTCCATTTGACATAATATAATCTTCTATTTGGCATCTATTTTTTTATCTATTTGGCATGTATTTTTTATTTTATTTGGACATTTCTTAATCAATTACTTATTATTTAAAAGTGTGATTTGTAAATTAGCATGCTGACGTTTAGGGCATACTGTAAGCCAGCATGTACACTGTTTTAAAATAAATAAATGAATAAATAAGGAATCAGGTATATTCCTATAGCTAGGTATGTCGACCGCGAAATAATCATAAACTATAATCCTAAAGGCGCCCCAAAGGAGCCCAAGTTTGCCTCGTACCGAGTAACCAAGTTAATAACAGGTACATATTTAACTAGTTTCTCGTCTTGATTTAATATGAAATTAGCGGGTTTCTGAATTAGTTACGACTTTATGTTCTCTCTTGGTTTCGCCCAAACTTTGCCGATCTCGAGAAGTTTTATTGTATAATTATCGTGTAATTTTATTTTATAATTTACTTAATATCAAGTTATTGGAGTGACCGATTGTTTTTATTCTTAAGACTGAACTTGGGTCACTACCGGAGACTAGCCATATGCACAGAACAGCATTATTATGCACGGCACGAGTGTGTGTGCGAACGCAAGTGCGCTGTCTATTCCCTGACCATCGTATTCCGTTGGGACGACAATACGACAAGATCGGAGAGAGTTTGGGCAAGAGCAAAAGCTTTTGCAACTTTCTGACCCCGGGATGGTACTAAGAATTTCTCGACAAAAACTCTTATAACTGGTTTTGAGATCATCGTTTGTCACTTGACCAGCACGACTGATGCTTAGAACCATTAGACATTCAATAATAATGTCATTCATCATTATTATGAATCATCATCTCAGCCCATCACAAGTCCACTACTGACTATGAGTGAAGCCTGTGCTAGCTACTGCTGGCAAAGGCTTCACTCATAATAATTTCCCACAACTACTAGCCTATCACACGTATAGAAACATTCAGATTAAAATAAATGACATTAAAAATAAACCTAGCAAGCTAACAGCATAGCAAAGTGGCGAAGCAATCAGCTTTGTAGCGGTTTCTAATGGTTGCCGTTGAGCAATCAGTTTCAAAATAGGAGGTTCAGATGCCTGGGTGATCAGTAATCGATTGCTGAAAACAGAATTTGAAAATTCGAAACCGTTCTCGAGATAATCGTGGGACAGACGGACAGACGGATAGACGGACAGACATCGTGAAATCAATAAGTGACTTCGCAAGCTTCGCCACTTAATAATACTGAAAGTTCTCGAGTGGCGGACTCGTACCGGCGGACGAAGTGTAGCGCGTCCACCCACTAGATGGAGTGACGACCTTGTAAAACCGTGCTTTGTGGCATTCCTTGGGGAAGGCCTATGTTCAGCAGTGAACTTGTGAAGGGCTGTAATGATTATGATGATGATGAGTGATAGTGTACTTGGATCATTTTACCGAAACAAGAATTTTATTTGACAACATAACAAACTTCCACAGAAACAACAATCTCGAATAAAAGGATTCGCAATAACAGAGGCATATGTAGATTTTATTGATGCGGTACGGTCGAAGGAGAGCTTTTACAAGAGTTTATCCGCTTTGACCCTTCCTGGAGCATAAAATTTTTACTACTGCTATTTTGTCCTAACGTTGGTTCCCCAATACTTTGTCCACGGCCCGTAAAATACATATCCGAGTCTTTATAGTAAGCGATTTAATTTTAATACATATCATTTTTATTATACCATGGTGCCAGAACTAAAAAATATATAAACAATAGACTAATGATAGTGACAAAGGAGCGGGCAGGTCACCTAATGACAAGTGACCACTGACCACTACAGCCTGTAGATACCACCACTGTCCAAAGAGACAGATAATTGTCAACCTTGAGGGCAAAATTATATAGAAATACCACATTAGTTTTTTTTACCAGGCGTGACAGTGGTGACACTTTATGTGTCGGGTCAAAAATAGAGATGTTGGTATAACTTTTCATACAAACTCTCAGGCAGTCCTTTTCTGGCTGAGAGTTTGTTCAAATAGCACAAACAATTCCAATCCCGTGTTATTATTGTTGTGTTAAGTGAAATATAGCTTTAACCATACTGTTTGTTTGCAGGCAATCGTGCTGCCGCCGTTGGCGCGGTGGCCCTACGAGAACGGCTTCACATTCACCACGTGGTTCCGACTCGACCCCATCAACTCCGTGAACATAGAGCGGGAGAAGCCCTATCTATACTGGTATCCTATGTATATTTTCCATATCATTTGTTTTTAATTTATTTGGACACTTGAGGCAGCTTTTGCGATTGTGAGTAATTTTTTTTTATAGAATGAGGGTGACAAACGGGCACACAGTACCACCTGATGGTAAGTGGTCGCTGTGGCCCATAGACATCTACATCTATCTTCGTTTGCGAATTGAAATGCTGATGCGTTGTCAGCCGTGAGGACTAAGATAGAATGCCTCTTTTCCAGTAAAAGGGGTCTCCGGTTCTCTACTCTCACCATACGAAACACAGCAGCATTAAGCTGCTATTTTACGCTGGTATTCTGTGAGAGCGTGGTCCTTACCTGGTTGAGCCGACCCATTCGTGCTACAAGTATACTACTAATATAGCTGCAGCATGGCTCTAACACGTATAAAAATTTTGAGGAATGAAAATGAAGACTAATAATTAGAGCAACCACGACTTTTTCTGCCACAAGAGCGGTGCCACGGAGATTCATAGCGGGGGAAGATAAATTGCTAGAAAAGTGTGGAGATGTCATCATCATCATCATCATTACAGCCTATTACAAGTAGACTGCTGAACATAGGTCTCCCTGCATGTCTTACCAGGTTGTCACTCCATCTAGTGGGGGGACGCCCTACACTTTGCCTGCCGGTACGAGGCTGCTACTCGAAAACCTGTCTTCCCCGTCGGTTGTCGCTTCTTCGAGCTATATGACCGGCCCATTGCCATTTCAGCTTACTAATTCGTTGGGCTATGTTGGTTACTCTGGTTCCACTGCGAATATCCTCCTCCCTTTTCATAGCTTGCTGAGCGACCTTGAGCTTCCTCATACGGCCAGCAGTGAAGCTCACTGCTGGAAATTGATGCTTCTTTCTGAAATGTCAGTTATGTTTTATATGAATTAGATTGGAAATAGATAAACCAAACTAAGGATAATTAAAAAAAAACATATTAGAATAGAAAATTAAACAACACATACACTAGAAACTTTTCATTGATGATGACAAATAAAAAAATCACTTCAGTCCCAACTAGCGAAATCTGGTGAGCGTAAGATTAAGCCCTCGTTGGGTTTCCGGTTCCGTCTCTACTTTGGTTTCGGCTAAAACATGGACTTTTCACGGTCGAGATGATAAATTTTAATTTATTACCGTTCTAGTTAACAAAGGGCAGACGTAATCTTTCAAGTATTTGATAAAATCTCCCAAAATTGTTGGACTATAGTAATAAAAATAAAGTACGTCTTTTACTTGCGTTATTTTACCCTGATAGTATTTTATAAGGTCACCCAAAAAATATCAAAATATTATTATTTTTTTCTGACAAATTTTTATGTAAAAAGTTTTCGTGTTTATAATAAAAAACGTCTTGTTAAAAGCGCGCACGCTTTTCGTGTAACGGTATCCTTCAATGCCTACTGAAGCTTAGTTACAAGGGCTTCATAAACAAGAGGAGTCGAATTCGTAAAGGAACTTTGTGACTGCAAACAAGCGTCGGTATTAATTAGTTAAACGTCCCTAACGCCGGACCGTGGAACAGAGCTGCGATAACAATTTACTTTGTGAATACACATGATTACAACATTCGTATTGTTGTAATCAACGCCGCGAGCGAGTCAGTCGCTACCTGCCGCAGTGACTTTGTTTTATTATATTATGTCTTATAATATTTATTTAAATATTTTAGAGTAGATTCTATAAAAATAAAACTTTAAGTTTCATTTTTTATACCTATGGCTATACCACGTTGAAGTATGCTAACTTGGTAGCTCGAATCGGATATTCGTAGTTCTGTAACTCTAATCTCTCCTCATCATGTCTTCTTTGCAGCAGTCAAACTTTTAAATTTCTTACTGATATAAGCGACATATTTAGAATACTCTCAGGAGTTAACAGATGCGCTTGAGTATTGAAGTGTCACAAGTATACAGCGGACAACCGACATTCTGTACAACCGACTTCAATATAAATTATTAAGAATAACTCAAAAACTATTGATCAGACATTGATCAACTTTATATCGGCCCACATGTAAAGCACCAGCTTTAAAATAAAAAAAGAATCATCGAAATCGGTTCACCCAGTAAAAAGTTATGAGGTAACACATATAAAAAACATACAGTCGAATTGAATACTGTCTCCTTTTTGAAGTCGGTAGATGAAACAACCAAATTGATTCGAGTAAACATAAAAATGAATCATTTTGTGTCAATTAACGTTATGGTTCACTGACGATGTAAGAATTAAACCTGTTCATATCACTTTTGCTGTTCACTCTTCAACGCATTTGAACAAGGCATGAATGAGAATTTCCCATACACGACTTGATTCCATGACATCTTCTTCCGAATAAATTGAATTAACTAGATCACTTTCTGCATACTGTGTAAACCCAATTTTTAAACAAATCCTCATGCTCATGCGTGAGTGGTACCCGAGCAAAAAATCCTTTTACATACATAATATAATCACCCCTCTTTCCTGTAGGGGTAGGCAGAGACCACTTCTTTCCACTTGTTACGATCCTTACATACTTGTTTTGCTTCGTTCACTTTCATTATTCCCTTCATACATGCTCTACGGTTTAGGGTACTCTTGACCTGGCCTTTTTTCAAGACCTCCCTGATTTGGTCCAGAAATGTTCGCCTAGATCTACCCCTTTCCACACTTTCATTCACACTCGCCTTATACACTTTTCCTTTTAGAAAATATCTTACCCGACTGCCCCAGAAGGAGTGGAATATTTTTCAAGTGTATTGTCTATATCTTTGGCACGCTCTGTAGCCTAAATGCCTTGATGGATCCTATCTTATAAGGTGTGTAGTTAGAATCGTCGTAGTTGTAGAAGTTACATAGGATATAAAACTTCCCATTTCAGTAAACATTTCTATGGTTTTTAATTAATTACTTTAATTATTTACTTACCTTTGATGATTTAATTAAGTGTTTTAAAGATAAAATAAAAGATCTGGTATTGCTAAACCTAAAAGTAAAACAAAAACCAGATAAGATCTAATACTTTATAAGATACGAGTACAAATTAATTAGAACAAATTCATGTTTTAAGCTATCAGAGTAAAGAAAATTGAATAACCCGAAAAGTTTTTAATAAATGAACATTAAAGGCAATATTCACCCTTTATTAAACAAGATATTACTAAGTTAATTAGGAAAAGGAAATTCGCTCAGCCGTGGAGTATTTGCGTATTAAAATTATTTCTAAATACTGTTATTAAAACGAAGACCTACCGTTTGAAAGTCTAATTAAATTTCTTAGGGGTAGATTAGTTTGCGCTCTTGATTAAGAATTATATCGGTTAAGTAACGGTACATGATTTCTATAAAGGCTTTATTACAATATACCACATACATTCGCTCTTACAATTAAGTTTCGGCAAATTGTACATATGACCGAAGAGTACAATCCACCACTTTGCCTTGCATATGTGGACTCAGAAAACCTTCGATTCCGTCGTGCTTAAATCCCTTTAGCGGTGCCAATTTAACTGTCGGTATATCAAAGTGCTGAAGCGTTTGTACAGTGCCCTACTACCCTACGATGGCTATCCGAGTACAGAACCAGAGTAGGAAACCTATCCAACTACAGAGAGGTGTAAGACAGGGTGACGTTATATCCCCGAAACTCTTCACCTCTGTATTGGAATACGTTTTTAACCTACTGGACTGAAACTGATTCTGTTTCGATTTGCCAACGGTATAGACTTTATGGCAGAATAGCTAGAGGATCTAAGCACTATGTTCAATAACCTCAAAGTATCTCTCAACGGCTGTAATATTTGGAAAAAATTAAAAACAAAAATCTTTTATCGCTATATTTATTAAAATATTAATTAAAATATTTTCTTTGAGATTAAAATCATGTTCATCGTCTACTTACTTATTAACTGGTGGAAGGTTAATATTAATTTATTAGGTGATAGGACTACTTTTCTGTCTAAGACTTCGTTTGGGTAGGTATCACTCTGTTACCTAATTCTGGCGCTAAATAGCACTGCTTGATACAGCTGTGTTTTTTTTTTTATAGAATAAGGGTAACAAACGAGCACACAGTCCACCTGATGATAAGTGGTTGCTGTGGCCCATAGACATCTATTCGTACTACAACTATGCAATTAATATAAATAATATTCGCCATAGTTGCCACGGTCTGCAGGCGCGTTGGCAACCGCAGTGTTTTCGAGCTGTTATCAGGAAGATGCTGCTGGTCATCTCCTGTTTCAGTTTCCCTCTGTTGCCACTTACAAAACTCATGGGTTGATATGGGATAGTGGATTTTATTACGCCGCCGCTACACGGCAATAACAAAATAATCACATTCATATTACTTTGTATTATTACACAGCTTCAAAACAAGCAAAGGCGTCGGCTACACGGCGCATTTCGTCGGCAACTGCCTGGTGCTGACGTCCATGAAAGTTCGGGGCAAGGGCTTTCAGCATTGCGTCAAGTATGAATTCCAGCCGCGAAGGTGAGTTGAGGCGCTTCCAAATAATATTTAATAATATGGTACTCAAAGTTTAATTTTATTTTTATTTTATACAATTAGGGTGACAAACGGGCACACCTGAAGGTAAGTGGATTCTGTGGCCCTCAGACATTCATGAGGGGCTCCGGTTCTCTACACTTACGAAGTACAGTAACATTAAGCTGTTATTTTGCGTTAGTATTCTGTGAGAGCGTGGTTCTTCAACGGTCGAGTCGACCTATTTGAGCTATAACCATTATATAGCTGCAGCGTAGCTCTACCGATATATCTTTAGCGTGTAAAAACGTGGTAGAGCCACGCTGCAGCTATATCACGCTTTCATAGAATACCATCGTAAAATAGCAGTTTAACGCTGCTGTGATTCGTACGGTGAGTGTAGAGAACCGGAAAAACTAAATCTTACAAAGAATTTCCTACAGTAATACATTATCTCTATTATATATTCAACGTGGTAGAGCCATGCTGCAGCTATATTAGTAGTATAGTTGTAGCACGAATGGGTCGGCTCGACCGGGGAAGGACCACGCTCTCACAGAATACCAGCGTAAAATAGCAGCTTAACACTGCTGTGTTTCGTATGGTGAGTGTAGAGAACCGGAGACCCTTTTTACTGGCTACGAGGCTTTGCATCTTAGTCCTCAGAAGTGACAATGCATCATGAATGTCTGAGGGCCACAGAATCCACTTACCTTCAGGTGTGCCCGTTTGTCACCCATATTCTATAAAAAAAGATTCAAATACACGAAACATACTTAAATCAAAACTTGGAGGGACATGAGTTACCCAACACGCATTTGAACAGCGGGGCGGATAAATTGCTCCATAACTCTTCAAAATGGGAAGAAGCCAGTGTTTCCATTTTAATGGTTTCAGTTTTCCACGCCTTTATTGATTTTTTCCCGTTTTGGTTACTTATTTTTGTTTTCAATTAAGGTGATTTCTACGTAATCACCTTAGTTGAAAACAGAATAAGCAAATAATCTGTTGTGATTTTTTTTCATGATCACGTAGGTGGTACGCGATAGCGGTGGTGTACATATACAACAGATGGACCAAAAGTGAAATCAAATGCCTGGTGAACGGGCAGCTGGCGTCCAGCACTGAGATGGCCTGGTTCGTCTCCACCAATGACGTAAGTAGGATTGGATTTATGAATTGATCAAATGTTCAATGCTGTCTCGTTCTTTCTTCACGTTGTTATTCTTAGTTATTTTATAGAAGTCATATTGACTGGCTAGCACACATGTTCACCTGATATTAACTACGGCATTTGTCCTCAATTTGAAATCAAGATGCAGATTCGTTGTCCATATAGAATGTCTTGTTACTTATAAAAAGGATCACTGGTTCTCGGTTAAGCATTATATCGCTATTTTACACTGTTTTTCCGAAAGCGCGTCCCCAGTCGAGAACCTTACTTACTGCAACCAAAATACAGCGGTTCCGTGCCGTTAGTGCTATTTGTTGAATTAGTTCCGAGGATCGTTACCTACACTACATAAACATTATATTATTCATTTTATATTATAAATGTAAAAAATAAATAAGAGTACTTTAGTTGAGAGTAGAACTGTACGTCGCGTCTTATTTTGTTAGTAAAGTAGAGTGCATAGAAATCACAGGGTGAATAAGTCTAGGTCAAATGAAAATTCACCTGGTGTTGCAGTAGTTCATGGGCGGCGGCAGTCACTTTACCATCGGGTGAACCGTATGCTCGTTTGTTCCCTCTATTATAAAAAAAGTCAAAATTATTCAATTTATGCTCATTGAAAGGTTTAAACGTCAAAATCTACACCGGTTCACGAAAATAGACCTCAGAGAAGAACTGAGCTAGAAACTGAGATATTTATTTTAAGCAATAAGCAGTGTTAGAAATATTTGTGTGTTGGACAACATTTATTAGAAAACAAAATGTTTTTTAAATACAAAATATAGGTGACAAACGAGCACATAGTCCAATCCACTTGGTGGTTGCCATGGCCCATAGATGTCTGATCTCTCATTAGTTAAGATTCAAAATGCAGATGCGTTGTCACCACGTAGGACTAAGGTGGGTTGCCGCGTTACCAGTAATAGGGTATTCGGTTATTTATATTTACCATAACAAAGTAGCTTTAATATGCTGTTACACGCTCGTGTTCTGTGAGAGCTTGCTACTACCCCGGAGGAGACGACATATTCGAGGTGCAGCTATGCATAGCTGGCATGGCGGCATCGTGTTTCTATCACGAATAAAATATTTTCATAATATCAAATAATAATATACAGTTGAAAGTACAATCGACAGTAGCCTAATGGTGAGTGTGGACCGCAAACTCAAAAGGTCGTGGGTTCGAATCCGCCACTCGACAATTCCTAATACAAGCATTTTAAGCTTACCACGAGTGTTTAAAGGGAATCTTAGTAATGTTAATAGCATTGCTAGTACATAGTTTTTTTTTAAAAAAGTGGTGTAACCTAAAAATATATAATATATATTTTTAGGTTACACCACTAGATAAATATCGAAAGGGGCGTTCCCTTTCGATATTTATCATTTAAGGTACGTAAGGGCAATATGGTCACCTTAAGCTTTGCCGCCCTATAAAACTAAAACTAGAAGTAGGACAGAGACAAAAACACTAAATCGTAAACTATACCTAATATATTAAGAAAAACATAGTAAACAAGCTTGGGCAATAATTAGGAACACTTCGAAAAATCGACTTAAAAAAATTAACTACACTGCACTATACTAAAATCCACTAAAATATTTAGAATAACTGTCAAAGTGGCTCTGACAAAGCCCCTTTTGATCCTTTATTATATGATTCACTGGTGAAAAGCGATCGTATCACAGAGCCATCCATGCAAACAAGGCTGTAGTTTTTGAGTCATAAGAAAGTGACCATATTAACCGGATGACCAATATTAATTACCCTCACAACATGGCATAGAAACTTGAAGTTCCGTTGGATACAAACGGGAATCCTTATTAATCTACTCTCAAAACCAGGGGTTCATAACTCTCAGTAGATTACTCCTAGTAGCTTAGTATTAATCGTTCTGCATTCAGTTAATTTGCGGGAACATCACCGATATTCTTCTGTTCGATATGTACCTACACGTCGTTGGGAGCAATTTATAACGGACGCCGTATGCGAATTCTTTATACGGTATGTGGAGTCATAAAAATGTTGGAATAAACTTATTATATAAAACTGACTTAAATAGGCCATGTCTCATGCTACTTATGTTTTGTTTTTAATTTAAAAGATAGTATCTCTAAAATTAAATATCCTGCAATAAAAGCCTTTATGCACTTTCATTCATAATCCATGTTTGTTAATACACTATAGAACATGAATATTCACAAGTAATCGAGAGAGGACGTGTCTACGCATTGTCAGCAATACATTACGGCATGCTATGGCCGTTTACTTTGCGTAAATGGATAACGTTGTATGGTGAAACTATTTTTCGTTCACACTACTCATATAAATTCTTGGAAACATTTTTATTCTGGAATCTTGTATCATTCCTTTTAATTGCATCATTTTTGGCAATGTGAGACAATCATGCCTCTATCACGTAGGATGTTGTAACAAACACGACGTAATTACCCATGTCAATACAATATTATTTGATTTTTAATACTAACCAGTTTTAGAATATTTGTCTGCCTGTATGTCTGTCTGTCCGAGCTAATCTTTGAAATTGCTAAAGCGATTGTAACGAGACCTCTCCAACAGATAGAAAGCAATGCCAGAAGTGATCTAGGCTGTATTTTATTCTAAAACTTGGAGATTATTTGAGAAATCGTCTTTGACGATATCAAATGTACAAATAGCGGCACGAAAGTCTAAGTTACTCCTTATGACATCAGCTATCTGCCAGTGAAAATTTCGTCAAAATCGGTCTAACCGTTTCAGATATTAGCCGGAAGAAACAGACAAACAGACAAAAATTTTAAAAATTATGTTTTTGTTATAAGTATCGTATATACTTTCATATGCATATAGTAAAAACCTGTTATTTAGACATTAGAAACAGACACTTCAATTTTATTTATTTATATAGGTAACTCCTCTTTTAAATCTACTTTGTATTGCTATAAATTATTACATATTTTTGCAGTCCTCTTTTAAATTTAATGTGTACAGCTTAATGATAACATTTTTTTCTACAGTATCGGTTATATTATCTATTATATACTATACATATTTAAACTATTCAATTGTTAACTCACTATTTGCTTTGTCAAATTGTTGTGTTTTTACTTCGATTATTGCGTTCTTATTACGACGACAATGCATATTTAAAAGAAACTAGAGCGCCTTGAGGAAATTCACTGTCCCGTATATCCCGTGGATTTCGTGAGAGGCGACAGAGGAAATTAAAACAAGAGATAGACAGCAGCATCTTCCTGATAACATTTAGATTTCTTTTGTGACTCGTTGTACGATTTAGAATTAAATGGGAAGCTTATTATCTTACACTTACCCGGAGCGTTGCAGCCGCAGAAGAAATAATTGTGGGAATATCGTTTTAAATTTGGAAGAGTTATATTGTTTAACTAGCTGTTCCCCGCGACTTCGCTCGCGTGTTAGGGTTTTTATTTTTTTGCGCGGAACCCTAATTCTTTTTCTAAAATAAAAGTAGCCTAGGTTACTCCTTATGACATCGGCTATATCTGCCAGTCCCGTCAAAATCGGTCCAGCCGGTTCGGAGATTAGCCGGAACAAACAGACAGACAGACAGACAAAAAATTTAAAAGTTGTATTTTAGTTATAAATGCCGTATTTACTTTCATATGCATTTAGTAAAAAGCTGTTATTTTGACATTACAAACAGACACTTCAATTTTATTTATTTGTATAGATTACAAACGGATACTTCAATTTTATTTATTTGTATAGATTAGAAATGATAATACAATCATTGAAATTGAATGATCTATAACTTTCATAAAAATTTGTCGGTACGATACCCGTCCTACTGTGAGTAAATTGTACCATGTCTATAACCTTCGCACAAGACAAGTGCAAGCAATAAGTTGACAAAGTTTTACCGCAATCTGATGAACGGTATTTAAGTGTATAAGATACGAACAAACAAACATTAATTTCTAAATATATATATAGCGAGAATACCTCATGAATAAATCGTTACTAATAATAATTTAAAATAAAAAAAAATTATACAACCGCATATAAATTATTAAGAATAACTCAAAAACTATTGGTCAGACCTTAGTCAAATTTATATGTGACCACATAAGATTCATCAGTTTTCAAATAAAAAAATAATTATCGAAATCGGTTCACCCAGAAAACACTAAAAAAAAACATACAGTCGAATTGAGTACCTCCTACTTTTTGGAGTAGGTAGAAAAGGGCATCCGGTTCTCGACAGTCACCAAACGATAGAGCACAATTATTCTGCTATTTTAGGTTGTTGCTACTTTGTGAAAGCATGGCTATGGTTCATGTTTTATGTACAGTTAAAATATAACATTTAGGTACCATATTATCCAACATGTAACAAAACCCTGTGGTTCCAGTTAAGTATGTTATCAGCATCAGTATTCAAACCTATAGAAATAATTTGTTTTTAAAAAATCGATCATATTTTTTATTTTTTTTTAAATTTTATGTGGTTTTATTACCTCTTACTGACACTAGCCGATGCTAAAGCTAAGTAAAGCGGGGTCTTTGATAATCGTCTTACTCCCCAGACAATGCAGAGGTAATAAAACCACATACAATTTGCATACAATTATTTTTTTTAAATAAAATAAAAAAAATGATTGTTCGAGTTTTTAAAAAAAAGTTATTTCTATACGTTTGAATACTGATACTGATAACGTACTTAACGGGAAGCACAGGGTTTTTGTTACATGTTGTATTTCATGATTAATAACTCTTAAGCCTGATTCAAAACGGCACAAAAGAGCTCGTTTAATTTCGTTTTTCAAACAACGAGTGAGCCCTGTATATTTTTCAAAACAATGGTCGTACACAATTGCCTCTTTTATACTCTTCCATGTCCTGTGAGAGGTGAAATTAGGCTCGGGACGTACAAGGAGAGTAATTTTGTTTCATCATGAATAATAAACAACGTGTGTACCCCGATATATGTACTCAACTCTCA